GCACTCTTAAGCAACATTTCCCCTTGAAACATCCTCCTTTTTAATGCCAGTGTATCCTTTAGCCAATATAAAATGCAAATGCTATGCCCGTGAAATGGACAACTGGGAACTGGGCTCGAAACGAAGCCAGTTTCCAAGTTGGTCAGCAAATGAAATGAGAGTCGAGTTATGTAAGTGGCAAGCTTGAGCAATTTGAATACCTGGGAGGAGCAGTAGCGGGAGAAGGCTCCGCCTTAAAAGGACGCTGGAGACCTGGCATTGGTATATTTCTGACCTAGCTTAATTGGTGTCCAAGAGCACTACCCGAGAGCCAGTAATTAATGCTCACCATTGATTTCCGGCGCAGAATAAACGACAAGCGGGGCAATTTTCACGCCATAACTCTAATGGAATTCAACATAAATTTTCCAGACTTTTCAATATTTTATTAGCCTTTTTCGGACGGAGCGTGGCCATAAAATTGAAATGTTTTCGACCAGAGTCGAACCCTGGCAGCACGTCAAAGTCAGAGGGGTTTCTTTTTTTTTTTTTATGGCGCTTCATTGGTCGGTTATAAATTTGTGTGTTCGCCAATAAATACCAAAATAATTTTACCAGAGCCGTCCGTGGCAAGGTAGCCAGGTCCAACCATCCTGTTGACACTTGTGGGTTGGGCAGGAGTGTTGTAATAAAAAAACAAAAAGGATCAGAACCACCCCAAATCGGGTTCAATGCTGACCACCGAGTGGAGAGCTCCGTCCTGGCACTTTACACAATTTTTATTTGCTGTTGATGTGATTTTGCACTCAATTGAAAAGAAACTCGATTAAACTTTCATGTAAAATTGCATGGGAAAAGCGGTAACATGACTTACCACTCCTCGAACGTTGACTATTTATTGAAAAGTCATCAGTCGCTTGAAGTGCGGATGATCTGTTATTGTCAATGCCACGGATTTGTCTGCTTGATGGGTTGAAAATAACTCACACCTTCGTTCTTAGTAAGGGTATAATAGGGTCTGGGGGAAATAACATCAGAATATATACTTTTCTTATTACAAACGCTTGTGCAATTTGCTCGATTAAAATTAAATCTCATCCCCAAAAAATAAGCTCATTACCTGTGAAAAATATTACTTGATTTACAAACTGTGTAACTTCTTTTCAACTTTATTTCCCCTTTTGCACAACCCGCTAATTTGGTCGTTGATAAGGGTTGGGTTACCATCTGAAATGACAGCTAACAGAACTTGGCTTTAGCATATTGTTTTTAAGATTTGAACCTGAGTAATTTCTGATTACGGATGTATCAGATGTATTTCTAGCATATTTCCAACATTAATTTAAAGGATTTCAAGCCAGTTTTGATACTATCTAAATCGATATGTGACCCTCACCTTAACAAAAAGATATTGCAGGGAATGGCCTTTGAACTGGAGAAGCTAATGACAAGTTTAATCATTAGTTTTCAGCGGCAAATGAACGGGAGGAAGCCATTAGAGTTCTGCTAGTAGTCCGGCCTTCCCTGTCACCTATTAACGGGCTTAAACACAACTGCGGTAACAAGAATAGCAACCAAGGTATCTAATAAAATTATGAGCACTTGTATAGAATGTAGAGCTCCCATATTAATCAAATTACTCTGAAACGATAAAAGTTATACAATTTTAGGGTAATAAAATTGCTTAATTGGGGGCTTAAGTGGTCTCAAGTATTTTTTAAATATGGTACATACAATTTATACAAGCTTCAAACGTCATTGGGAGTCACACTTGTGTTTATGGAGTTTCGAGATATCGTCTTGCATTTATATCGTTATTTTTCCATTTATATTGACCATCTCGACACACTCAGAAATATATAGAAAAATATCAATTTAAATTCAGGAGCGATATCCTAGAGACCTATAATATTTTTTCCAATTTCTGAATCTGATTTTTAAGGGAGAACAGATCTTTGAGAAGCCGTATAGAAGTTACAACACCTTAAAAGTACCGAAAACCTGTACTTTCTGCAATTTTAAGTTAAAATATTTTGAAAACCTGACGTATTCCGGTTCTTAGTTCTAAATATACCATTTCTGAGGAGATAGGAAACTGCAAATGTGAGATAATTACAGAGATGTTTGGTTTCCATCACGCAATTTTCATCATTAAATTTATTGCCGACGGTGAGACTTAACTTTGGTTTAAATTATGAAAAGCGTTTTATAAATACAAGTAATAACATTTATCACTAAAGTTAAGTGGTCTATGAATATTCCTACTTCTCCTTTATTGATTTGTAACTTCTTGAATACAAGTTCCAATTATTAGGACCCACAAAGACATATGTACATATACCCTTTTTAATTTTCAAAAAGTTCAATAATTCTGTTGGCAGATGCGTGTTTTTGTGACCGCAGTTGTTCCCTGCTCTGGAAACGGGGGTTCAGTGGTAAGGCCAAGTGATTAGCGCACTCCATTTACTCCATTTTTAAACTCATTTAGTGCAGCGTTTTTAATAGCCGGCCCTATGGAGAGGGAGCGAAAGGGAGAGAGGCTAATGACAGTTGGCTGCCTTTGTTGGCCAACAGCAGAACAATGGCCGCCCTGTTTGTTTCTCTTTTATAACCGCTCTCATAGTGCGGCAAACAAGCTCGTACGTTAGTTGAAATTGCTTTCTTTATGACGTTTTTACGACTGCCGTGTGCAGGCCGACAGTTTTGGCAGGGGATGGCCATAATTAGAGAACCTACACGTATGTGTGTGCCTGTAGTTGGCGATAGTGACTCATATTTAATTTAAATGTCCCCGCGATGGCCACTAATTATTCGCTGTCACTGTGCGCACAGTGCATCCGAAAACTAGCTGAACAGCTGACTGAATGCCTGAATGACTGACTGACTGGCAGACAGCAAACTGTCCAACTTGTTGTCAACTCTTTTGTGGCCTTAACTCGAAAATTGCTGCCAGAGCAATTGCGGAAATGATGAAAAACTAATTTGAAAAATGTGCTTAGCTTTGTGGTTCTGCCTCAGATCCGTAATGGTCGCCTCTGTCCTCCGTCGGCGGACTTAAATCCTTTTCAATCTTGCCATAATCCAAATTGACACGTACATGTGCAGCCGTAGCATAAGGCCTTCACCCGGAGTCCTGGCCGGGGCATCCGTAACTGTATCTGTAGCCGGCGCCTGTCTTGTTGACCAACCGCATTCTGTTCGGACTGTTCGTTTGTATTTTTCATACTCGCATCCACTTTTTGACTGACACACGCCCGCCCGGCCCCCCGGTCACTTCCAATTTGGTTTTTCTTTTTCGGGGGATTTTCGGCCGAAAACTTTGGCTGCACTTCGGCCGGCCATTGTCGTCCAGTTATCCAGGAATCCAATCCAGGACTCGACCCCATTTCCGCTGCCTGAGGCCCGAAGTCGTTTCATGTTGTATTACACTAAGTGGACACAAATAGATTGTTGTTCGGCCTCCGTCCGATATCTGTCCGCAAGTTTGCTCAATAATCAATCAAACGTGCAACTTGGAAACTGGAACTCCCAACCTGGAGCCCCCCGGCCAGCACCCATGGCAGCCAATTAGGGGCTAACCCACATGCAATGCCGCTCAATCGATGGGGCCAAGGATTCAAACAGAGGCTGGGTCTTGGGGCTGGGGACAATCATCCTCATTACATACAGAATTTGATTCGTTTGTTGGCCGCTGGCCACAAAGAAATAAAGCCCAGATTGTCCAATTAAACGCAATTTATATGGATTTCCAAGTAGACCAGTTTCGGTTTTAGATTGAGAGCAGACACTTAAAGAAAATCAAGTTATATTAGAGTCAAGAAATGGAATTGCAAGAAAGTATATAAATTTATATCTCAAGTTAGATCTTAGTACAAAAAACGATACCATAAAATTCGACTTAAGTCCTTAAAGGTATCAAAAAACAACCAGCACCCCTTTCTTCGAGTGCATCCACATCCGCAAGCCCAGCAGCGGCAAAACTGCAAATTAAAAAGGTGTCTCTGCTGAAGTTCAAATAAACAGCCTTTGATCGCCGGCGTCTGCAACTTTGTTGGGGCGCCGTCTTTCAACTCTTTTGCCCGAAAATCGTTTACTTCCGCACACACAGTCGACTTCGACCACCGGCCAACTTGTAGGAGTCAGAAGGAAGGTCCCTGCCGGGATGGGACCGGGACCGACCTCAGCACAGTGCTAATGTGACAGCGGCAACACTTTGGAGGCGGCCCGGCCGAAGATGGCCCTAAGCATTGGGCTACCTGTACGGCGGTGCCTGTTTGTTTTGCTTTCAACGCAAAAACACGTAATATATTTATAATGAACGGCCCCGGGATATTCGCTCGCTAATTGTTGTTAGTTTTTCGTGGGTCGAGCATATGGCTGATTTTTTTGGTTATTTTTTTATTGATGTTTTTGGCTAGCCCCATCATTAGCACGTCAAAAGGTATCCGGCCCAGGCTGCAGGTTCCTATTAGAACTGGTCTACGCGATCCAACCACCCTCAGCCTGTCAATAACTATCTATAAATCATCTTCAACGGATAGTTTCTGGTATTTAAGGGTTGCAACATTTCCATTTAACTAAGGATCTCAAGCGAAAAGACAAAGGAAACTCCCCTAACGTCAGATTTTCATTGTTTTGGGGGAGTTTTCGTGTTCTAAAGGGCAACATTTGAGTGAGGAAAATGGTAAAGAGGGAACCTTGTAGCACATTTAATTAATAAAAGAATATTACGAAAATATAAAATTGAGTATTTTGTTTTTTTCGCCTTATTCCGCATCTCAATATTGCGATAATATTTCTCTTGGACATTTTACTAACGAGAGCTCGTTCTCTTATAATATTTTTAAGTATTATTCTCAAACTAAAAATATATTTTAAAAACCTTCAAAAGACTGAAATTTATCCATCTTCCTTACCCACATCAAAAAAGTTCAAAGAACTTACTGTTGTAAAATAGAAAAGACTTTAGTTGTAAGTATATTCTTTGATTTCGTAATGTGTTTATTTCCATTGCTCTTGCTTTGTTTACTTTCCAATGATCATACATGTATTTAGGGTTTATAATTTATAATACTAGGTAATGCCATTTGACTTAAGCCTAGAGACAGATACATATTACAATTACAATACATTACAATCCATATATAATTTTGCGTATTAAATATACTATTACTAGGCGCGGCTTCGAAGCTCACTGCGACTGTCGAACAATAACTAATATTCTAAATGCAGCACTACGAACACAAAACGAAAATTCGGAATTCTACACGAACTTAAAGCGCCGATCCAGGTGCATGGCCTTGTTGGCATCCTGGCATCCGTTGGGCAAGCGTCTCTACAGAGTAAAGCTAGGTATTTACAGTGGGGGTCTGCCTCAACCGCCCCCTTTATTCTCCTATGTACAGTGCGAATAGTCTTCTGTCCGAGGCTCCACTGTCCGTGTCCTCGGACTATGTACAAAGCGAAGTGTATCACAAATAAACCAACAGCCGCCGAGGGCTCGCTCTCGCTCTAGCTCCTCTTGGCGGCCCGATTAGCAGCCCGCCGCATGCGACGCCTCTGCCCAGGGCTGTAGGCCATGAAGTGCCGCCAGGGGCGCCCCATTCACGCCCCCCTGCGAGTTCAGGGGCGGCGCTGGAGGTGCAAAGCCTTTGCTGATGGCCTCCGCCTGCAAGGAGAGCATCAGCCGGTTGGCTGCCTGCCGCTCCGCCTCACGCTCCTCGGCTGTTTGGCGTCTGGAAATAAAGAGAGAAAAAGGGATTTTATTAGTTAAACTTAAAAAAAACGTAAGTAATCTTTATATTTGACTAAACATGGCAACAAAAATCAGCTTAAGAACTTAACTCTTTGGGTAAATACAAATATATCTGGTTTAAATGAAGAACTTTCTGTATTTTAAAGGTTTTCAAGGTGATAAGCTGGTATTATTTGACCTCCAAAGAGCAAGACTTTAAGATAGAACCCTCTGCTCTTGAATATTCACTAAACCCCCCAAGACTCAATACTTTCATAGAAAGTTCTTTAATAAACTGCTCGAATAGCAACACCTAATCGATGTGGATGATGACATTTAGGCTTATCTATCAAATAGTATCGCTTAATGTACATATTCATTATGGAAAACCAATTTGCCAGAAACTCATTTCGAGTAGGGTCGGGGCAAACAGAAGCTCATCAAGTCATTATGTGGGCGGGCTATTAAGACCATTTAAAACTAATCAAATCAAATATGCTGACTGCACACACACGCCGATCGATTGTGTGCGATTGTGTGTTTTTGTGGAAAATTAATTTCGTGCCGAGCTGGAGCTGCGTGAAATTGCATTTTAAATGTTTGGCGCTTAAAAGGGATTTGTTTTTCAACCCACCAAACCCTGCCTGACTGTGGCCCTGCCATCTGATAAATAATTCAGTTGCAAATCGCACTGCAGTTGCATGTCATCCCAGTCCCGCGTTTGCGCAGCATTTTGCTCTAATTGTGGCCATGGAGCCGGCATGGCCACCACCACCACCACCATAAGTTCCTGTTCCATCCACATCCACATCCACCCCCGCAGCACTAGGGGTTGTTTCGTGCGCCATCTTGAATATTTCATGAGCTAATGAAGTTCTTATGTTGCCGGCTAAAGAGTTGCTCGAATTATAGCCGCAACTAGGCGGACACACATATATCATAATTATTGTTTAACATGCTTTCATTACGGTTTTCATCAGCAATGTCATCGTTCAAACTACAGTTTCATAACTACCCAGGCGCGTCTATTAAAAATGCATTAGCTGGGGTATTTAGTTCAAAGTTTTGGGCCCACAAATTGGAATAACTAATGTGGGTGTCTTTATGGCTGTCCTAGTAAAGGATGCGCCATATATGGAGTAACGAAAAATAGTATTTAATTATATAAAAGTTACTTTAAAAATGTAAAAAATAGTCGAGGACAAAGAAAAGCAAATAGGAATACCTTTTCTAGTTTATTTTTCCCTTTTTACCTAATACTGAAGTATTTACTCTAACTTACATAAACCTAATTTAGGCATTAAAGCATCAAATATTTTCTATAAAAATAATATTTATGAATTTAAACTGTCTACATTTGAAGTATATATCACATTCATGGTTTTCGCTGCTCCCAACTCCCACTCCCCACAGCCGGATTAACAATTCAATTGTCAGTTTTTGGCCTGGAAGTGAGTTATTATATGCCAAGCACATGGCTTTTACTTTTTCACCTTTGCACCATCAAGCACTGGCTTTATCGGGCAACATTTTTACTAGCTACCGCATGAAAAATTCAACGAAAATTGATTAAAAACTCCAAAACGGCAAGGCAAACGAAAGTGGCCTCGGAGTGAGTCCAAGTGTGTGCCGGCTTAATTCGCTCTTTGGGACCGGGGGAGACACGATTGTAATTTATCTTCAGTCACGGAGCTGGCTGGGAAATGTAACAAACGCTTTACAAATGTTAAATGTTGGTCTCTTGGCGCCATCGCGTTGATGTGGAAAGTTTTTGTTTGCCATCCACGATAAGTAATGGCCAGGCATTAGCCTAAAACGCTTATTAAAGCTCGGCCCATAAATTTTCCAACCTCTCCCCATTCAGCCTCGAACTGTCGCCAACTGATGCAGCTGCTGTTTAAGGCCTTCACGGCCATGTCCTCGTAATTAAAATCATTTCACACACTACACGCAAACTGCCATCAGCCCCAAAAAGGTCCTGTGGTAATTATCTTTCAAGACATAACAATTTAGCCAGGCCATTAATTGAGTGCTCAAGGAGCTTTTTGGCCGAGTTCCCGAGGGACTGGGACCAAGACCGGTACTGGCCAAGAACTTCCCAAGAAGGACACGTGCCGACGGACCCAGCCAGCTTACAAGTTAATTTACAAATGGCCCTCGCCATTGTAATTAATTTTATTTGATTTTTCGGCTCTTGCCGCAAAAACTTTGCTTTCAGTCAAATTGATTTTTGCTCTGCGGTCCAAGTTTTTCTCCTGGTGTGTGCGTGTGTGTGAATTTTTAATTAGTCAGCTTTCGGCAACCGGAAAAGTTTTGCATATGTCGAGCAATTAATATAAAGTGCGAGGAGTAGTAGAAGATTGGCCAAGAAAAGATGTGGGTCCTGGGATGATGAATGGGCGTGTAATTAAAAAGGGTTTAGCGGCAGCTTGATTTATGGCTGGGAAACTAATTGAATTATGTGCCCGAAGGAGAGGTGAAAAGAGAGAGTCAGACAAAAGTCAGACTTCTCCATTTGTTTCCGGACCCAAAAAACGGTGCCTCGGGGACCCAGCGCCCGGAAGTATGCAGCAAATCGCCAGCGATTTTTCTTTCCTCGGTATCTGTATCTTGTATCTGTATCTGTAGCTGCTTTCTGTCTGTATCTGCGTTTGTGGATTGCTTCTTTTCCTTTCTGTTTCGTTTTATTATTCTCTTTTTTTTGCTAAACACATTGTCAGACAGTGACAGGGAACAAGCGTTCATTCATTTGGCCGCGCAATTTGATATTAATTATGGATGTACACTTTTTGTGTATACAACTTCAATGGCAGCGAGTGTTATATACAAATAAGAAACAAACTTACCACCCCCAAGTAGGAAATGGAAAACTAATTAAGTGCCTAAGAAAATGTCCACTTAAAACTCCCCTAGTTAGTAGTAATATGTGACACATTATTAGTCACAAACTAGTTACTATTTATTGGGAATTGCCAAAGAAACTACTTTTATGCAATCTTTATGCGTTGCCTAATGGGCACATAGCACATACGCCATGTTGGACAGGGCTAATTATTCAAATTACCGGCCAATGCAGCGCCGTGTGCATTAAGGCAATTATGTGAGCACATTACACATACCCTGGATATTTACGAGTTATGCTGACTCGTAATCATGGCCTAATGTGCCATTGCCATTTCACTTAACCGCAAACGAGCCGTGGCCGAGAGCCAGCCGTTGCCGTTAACAAAATTGCGTTTTACATCATTAATTTTTACGATCTGGAATAGGCCCAAAATGGCTGATAAGCCGGGAGGAGGACTGGCTGGCTGGCTGAGGACTGCCACTGCCGTTGCCTTGGCTCTAAAAATGCCGCCGCCTGCTAAGCGGCAATTAACGCGTCTTAAGCGCCGTCCCTCCCGCCTTTCCCACCGCTCAGCCCTGCTCCGCTGGGAAATGTTGGAAACTTTGTCCATTTAGCCGCCATTTGCCATCATCATTATGATCGTCGGTAATCGCTTTTGAATAGAAAGACTATCCAAATGCGTCAGCTCAAATTATTTCATATTCAAATACTTTTACTCGGCGGTAATAAAGTAGAAAACAATTAGCTGCACGCCATCGAGCCCTCAACGCATCAATGCCCCATTAAATTGGTTCTATATTTATGAATTTCTGTTCCAAATAAATTGTCATTTGCATGCCGAATGTGAGTACATGCGCTCTTCCGTTTTCAGAACATAAATTAGAACTATAATAGCCACATGACAGCTGGGTAGTTACATGGGTGTGCTAAGTGAAAGCCTAAACTTAGTCCGTAATATTAATAATATTAGGTTTGCCTTTGCCTTCGCATCGACGCTTAGGATTCCCAAGGGGTTCTAGCTTAGATGGAAGGTAAAGTACCAAGAAAATGAGCAATTATTAAAATTATTAGCAATAGTTATCTCTTAAACAAATTATGTTTAATATAACAAGTTTTTAATCATATCTTATATTCCATTTGCAGTTAATTTCACATCAACTATTAATGCTTTAACTCCATTATTTCTCATTGGTAAGCTGGTAAATGTTAATACTTTATAAACAAAGCCTTGCCAATTAGCTTGTTGTTCAACAAGAGCACTCTTTGTGGCTGCGAAATGCAACTACCCCTCTGTAAGCCTCGTAAAAACACTCTCCCCCAATCCTGGGGGCTGCTTATTGTGTGTTGCCCGTTTAATGTGCTCATGCATATTGTATGAGCCATTTACTCCCCGCTTATGCACGCCAGTTTTTGGACCTATTTCTCAGTTGGGGTATATACAAATTAGCATATTCTTTGTGGCGAAAAAAGAAAGATAACTATTTGTATTAGAGTTTTTCTAGGGAATGAAATTAAACCCAAACTAAATTAAATTTGTTAAAGAATATTGCTGCTTTAAGGTTTTTAGGTACTATTCGAAACCTTATTTACCCAAACAAAGTCTATTTCTTAAAGGATATATCTCAAAACTACAATATTTCGTTATAACCAGATATATCTACACCTAACACCTACAGCTAACCCTCAGACTATCACTCATAGAGTACCTCTGATTCGTCTATTTCCGCTCCTGCCTTTTTAATATTCCTTCTTTTTAACAAAAGCCTTTTGTGCATATTGTAGTTTAAAACGAAACATAAAAAAACAGAAAGGCGGGGCGCATAGAAGAGGGTAAGTGTCAAGCTGTCAGCACTTCCAAAAACACTGAGAAATTGTTATGGGGGATGGGGTATTGATTTTTTGCCTCTAGCCCAGCAGGGACTCTGAGGAACCTGGGGAAACGCATCAGGAAGGAATAGAACTCACCTCCACTTGGTGCGGCGATTCTGGAACCACGTCTTCACCTGGGCATCGGTCATCTTGAGACCGCGGGCCAAGGCCGCTCGCTCGGCTGAGGCCAGATACTTTTGCTTGTGGAATCGCTTCTCCAGCTCCGCCACCTGGATGCGCGTGAAGGATGTGCGCGGCTTTTTTCGCTTCGGCGGCGTGCGGTTCTGGTAGGGATGTCCGATCCGTCGGGCGATGGGGAAGGCAGCTGTAATTAGGGATTTTGAGTGAGTACTTAACAGGGATAATACTTAAAGTTGCCAAGGATAATATAGTTTATATATTCTCTACACTATCCCCTACTCCTTCGAGCGGTGTGTGTGTCCTGGCGGCCAATTAGCAAACCATAAATTCCTAGATAACTGGCCATTTCCGAATGCCGCTTCCGGAGTTAAGCGACGGCACCTGTGCGCCTGTGAGGCTGCAAGTACTTAGCGCTGCCCGGTACTCGGTACCTGTTACCTGCTACCTAAGAGCTCGGGCCACTCCTCCCGCTGTGAAATCAATTTGGAGGCCGCTGACTCGCTGCCTAATTGCCAGGGATTGAGGTTTCGGTTTCTGGCGGCGGTCTAGCAGGAACCCTTATCGCAGCGCCCCTTGTAGACAAAGCACGCGACATCAATTTCCATTCGGGTTGAGTCATAAAGTCGCGCTCGGAGGACGCGCGTAAGTGACCCAGTGTCCGACTCCGAGTCCCAGTCGGTATCTGGTCGAACGGTGGCTGAGCTGAGCCTGGCTCTGGCGCTGAACCTTTTAAAATTCCTGCCAGCCGCCGTTGTGTGTGCTTTGTTGTTTATTGGGTGCGATAAGAGGCGGGCACAGTGCGCAACAAAATGTTAAGGCGATCGATCTGCCAACAGCAACAACAACAGAGGCAATTAGGAAACCGGCTCACAGACTACTGACTCCGCAGATGAGGTCAATCGAGAACTGGGCTTTGCCAATTTCACGGAGAAATTGCCTGGCTAGCAGCAGTCATTTGAGGCCAAGTGATTTGAAGCCAAGACAGCGAGACTAATTGATGAATTATTCAAATATGGTGAGACACGTCAGTCGATGGGTAAATAATATCAGTCGATATTGGATTGCAATTAAATTATTCATAAAGCTGATGGGGGATATTGATTTGAATACGCTTTAAAGAGAGAGAAATTCCTTACTTTTGAAGAAATATTTGTCTAGTTTTCTGGTGAGGAATAACTGCTAATAAGACCTTTTTTTAAAAATCTGTAAAATGTTTTTTATTTCAATTTTTATAACCTTTTGGCTTGTCAGTATATTTCCTATCAAATAAGGACCATAAAATTGTATAAAGCTCGCTAACATACTTGAAACCCAAAACCATTTGCTGAGGCAAAAGATATTCCATAATTTACAAATATAACCCCAATAGATATGCCTTGAAAAACTTTCTAAAGTATGAAAACATATTCAATGTAAATATAACTCATCGATTTGATTCAGTCCGTTTCGCATTGAGTTGGGTTCACCTTTGGACAAGTGTACGTGTTCGAAAGCCATAAGAAAATGGCGCTGGGCTGTCAAAAGCCATCAGAGGCCGCCGAATGTATGGCGGGTGTTAAGCTGACAAATCATGCTTCTTATTGCGATTTTCCCCGAGAACCCTTTTTTCCAAAGTGAGAAACACAAGGAGCTGGGGTCGTGAGGGTAGCCGATCATTTGAATATTTCAGGCAATATCAATTTCAATAAAAAGCCATTTATCGCACCACATAAGCGGAAGGCATCCTTGGGATTTTCAAAGATATCCCGCAGCTTGTGTGCCATGTGTATCCTTGAAGGATTCCGGCTTAGGGGGTTGAAGCATAAGCATAATTTTATAGCTTTCCCGGCTTTCTCCTGCCCTGCCACGCTTATTTATGATGTTGGTGTATCTTAAAGATACACATGGCGGTAGGTGTAAGGGAGTATAGACGTGTGTGTGTGTGCGGTTGTGGCCAAGATGCCTTGCCAGAAATACGTAAAATAATGCAAAAAGCTTTTAGCATGCATTATTGATGGCGGCCTGTGGCTCGACCTGGTTTTGCCACTCCCTCTGCCGTTTTTGGTTTTTCCAAGGAGCTGCCTGGCTGTGACCTTTGATAGTGATTTGGATTATCACTATTTTGCAGGATAAAACTGAGAATTTAGATAAATACATTTTTATAGACAAGAAGATTTAGATGGAATTTGAAATGTACACCAGATTTAGGCATAGCTTTCTAGCTTCATAGGATTTCCTAAAATTCTCTGAGCCATAACTTCGATTTTCCAAACTCATCGTCATATTCTACTGGACTATCGTGTGGCCAAGTGTCGTGACAAAAGCCCAACGAAAATGGGGAATATTTCGACTGGTTTGAAATTGCATTAGGGTAGCGCTGGTCGCTCTGCATGGCCGAAAAGTAATTGGCATCCGCTGCGACGTTGTGTCCAAAAAATAACGAAAATTAACATGCAATGGTTATTAATCATATGGCGCTAAGAGCCCTCGCCTGCCCAAAGGGAGGAGGAGGAGGCGACCACTTTGAAAGGGGCTCGGATCGGAACCGGGGCTGGACGCTCGTTTGTCTTGTTAATGAAAAAAGCCAAGGCGCCAGCTTATCAGCACAAGGCAAGCGACACAATAAACACAACGAGACACAGACACAGGCGACGCTGCTGACGATGACGAAGAGTGTCCGAGGAGCCGAAGATGTTGACAAAACGCAACGAAACGAGACGGAACGGATGGCAGCGGATCCAGAAAACTTGGATCACCCGGCGGCCTCATAAGTGTGCCTCTCTCTCTCAGGTGGACTGATCCGGACCGCTGGCATTCGACTGGCTAATTAAAAGCTGACCATGTCAGTTGGACTCAAATGTGAAGTGCGGTATGCGGCGATAAATAAGCCGGCGCGGACAGCCAGCTCTCGGGCTGAGCCCTGCGACCGCCCAATGCGTAATTAATTCCCTTTCGGGCCCAGCGCGAAATTAAAAAGTCATGTAAACCAGCTCATTAAAATAACTAAAAAAAAAAGGAGTAAGAAGGAGCCCTGCCACTGAGCGGATGTTGGCCATAAAAGCGCATCAGATTGCCGCAGTGCGGGGCCTAAGCAGCTTTTCCACATGACCGAAAAAGAGGCCCAAATATTATGAGTTATGCAGGACTCGATCCCGATCCCAATCGGGATCGCCTGGCTACCGAGGCGTAATAAAATCAACGCCGTCTCATTATTTCAAAGGGCTCGCGCTGTGCCGGCCGCTTGTAGCTACAAGTGAAGCTCATAATGTAAACAAATTAACAAAAGGCAGCCACAGGCAGAGGGCTCTGCAGATGCAGATACAGATGCGGATTCAGCAGGGCCCAGATAGATGCAGATACAAATACAGGCGCGCATGCGTATGCAAATCAGGAGGCACATCCCCATTCCTGTGTGTCGCTTCTGGGCGGTGGCTCAGAGTTAAGTTTTTAACTTAAGCTGCGATTGCGCATTTGAAGGCAAACATGTTTTTATACTTTAGCGTTTCGGCCACTCGTGTGTGTGTGCACTGAGGGAAAAGTTGGTGAATTATACTCAGGGATTATAATTAAGATTACAGCCTTCTTTGCAATATAAATATTTTAAACTTTTGCTCAGTTCAAAAAGTATTCAAGAATTACTAAATAAAATGATATTTTTCCTCTCAATTTAAACCACTTTTTCCCTCCGTGTATGTGTGCGTTGGACCAGCAATGATATGCCGATAGGCCTGTTGCTTTAAAAGACTTCTCTGATCGCGCTTATTTGGGGAACAGTAGCAATTGCCACCGCGGGTCATTGGGGGAGCGAGAGATCTCCGCGAACATGGGCCACCGCGACATGGGGCCTTCGACTCGGACATCTCTTCACTTCGCCTCCGACTCCTTTCTTCTGCTTCACTCACCTGCCAGCCGATCCTTGACCGCCTGATGGGCCAGCGCCGCATGATGCAGCGGCGGTAGCGCCCAGGTGAGTGGCGTCCGCTGGGGCGGCACCCGCAGCACATGACCGGCGGCCGCCGCTGCCGCCGAGGGATAGAGATGCGGATACGAATACAAAGCTGCGGCGCTTCCGTATGTCGAATTGGCAATGCTGGTGGCCAGTTTATAGGCGGCCAAGTCCTGATCCTCCGCCTGCAGCAGCTCCTTCTCCTCGCCCTTCTCGCCGTGGTTGTTGTTGTGACTGGAGCCGGGACTGCTGCTGCTGTGCTGCGTGTTGTTGTTATTGTTGTGGTGGTGATGATGGTGATGACTGGTCTCGAAGGGCTTGGATAGCAGGCGTGATATGCTGAAGGGCAGATTCTCGCTGGACGAGGAGCGCGTCTGCTCGGACTGCAGCGATTCACTGGGGAGGAGATGGAGAAATATACATTTATACTGACGACTGGCTGTAAGGTGCGGGCTCATTAAAAAGTGTCGCCCGATAAGCGGAAAAGCCTGAGAACATCGGTTATAATTAAGGCTGCCTGCAATCCAGACCAGTCTCGAAAACACTAACCGAAAGCCCACGCGAGCGGATAAGCGGAGCCGGCGACGACATGCAGAACGCGAGTGGCCACCGCTGCGTATACGCAATGTGGCTGAAAATGAAGTAAGGCCGCGCGCACACTACGGCCGCGCGCACACTACGAGCTGAAAGCGGGAGCTGACGGCTGACGCTTATCAGCTCTCTGAAACAAACACACTACTTGTATGAGAGCGCGCACACTGAGCGCGGAGCTGAAAGCTGATAAGCTCAGCTTCGCTCCGCTCTGTTTGATCAACCAAACATGTTTGATTTTTTCAAAAGCTGATGCGAGCTGATTTTTTAGACTATTCTTTAAAAAATTGCCCTAATTAGCGCTTAAGTAACAGAAATTTAAATTTCTGTCCAGTTATATAGAAAAGTATGAAGAATTTTTTTAATATTTATTAAACTAAAAATATTGTCAACTTTCCGAGATACAGGGTGCCAAAGTACACTAAAAAAACGTACTTTGTCAACCATATTCGGGAGAACTGGGTGGTCGATTTCGAAAATTTAAAGTCCATTATGAATAATAATAGACATAATAATATTAAGTAATTAAAATTTGCCGCCACTTTTTTTTTTTGGTGTAAATAAAACTTAATTGTCCTATGAGCGGAGCAGAGCTTCGATCCCTTTGATCGGCCAAGCCTGTTTAATTTGTTCAACAGTGAACGGAAGCTTTTTTAATTGCGCTTTAGAAATGGACTACGAAACATTACTCAGCGAGGTGTTACTCAATCCCCCAGTGTGGGACAAGAAGAATAAATATTATTGTAATAGACTTGTTACTGAAAAAGCATGGGATGCTATCTCAAATGCAATGCACGCGCCAAGTAAGTATACATTTATTTTTATTTATAGTATTTTGCTTCAAGCATTTGCATTCAACTAAATGCAACGGTTATATGTATTTATGTATGTATGTTATATACATACATACATATAAACGTTGCATTTAGTTATATGTATGTATGTATATAACATGTATAACATACATACATACATACAAATAACCGTTGCATTTAGTTGAATGCAAATGCATATAACATACATACATACATACATACATACAAATAACCGTTGCATTTAGTTGAATGCAAATGCATATAACATACATACATACATACATATTACCGTTGCATTTAGTTGAATGCAAATGCATGAGAGCTTTCAGTTTCTCAACTGCTGTATACACAAAAAAAAAAAAAGTAATTATAAATAATAAATAATAAATAATAAATAATAAATAATAAATAATAAATAATAAATAATAAATAATAAATAATAAATAATAAATAATAAATAATAAATAATAAATAATGAAACATTTTATTAAATTAAAAGGAAAAAGCGAGAATGCGTTTTTTACATGATTAATTTATTTGCATTTGAATTTAATTAATAATAATAAGAAATGTAATTAATGTAATGTAATGTAATGTAATATTAACAATTAATGTAATATGTAAAGAATAAACAATTGCAAAGTAAATTTAATTAATTAAAGTATTCTACAAACTGCTCTCGAATCTGCTTAGCTTCATTTCCGGATCTGTTATTACTTCTCGATAAACTTGGGGTAGTGCTTTGTTCATTTGCATCAAAAGAATATATATAATCATTAATCTTTTCGATGTCAATGATTGTGTTGTGCAGAAGGCACATTGTTTTTATTGCAAGAATTGATCTATGCGGTAGAAGATCAATTTCTCTTTTCAATAGACGCCATTTTTCAGTCAAAATCCCAAATGCACACTCGATGCAACGCCTAGCAGATGAAAGTCTTGTATTGAAAGTTTCATTTCTTGCATTTAATGACCTTCTTGGAAATGGTCTCATTAAATATGTCATTAGAGGATACGCCTCATCTCCAACAAAAACATAGGGTGCTGTTATATCAGCAAATGGCAATTGTTTTGCGTCTGGAATATTTAATATATTATTTCTTACTGCTTTGTTGAACTTGGAAGCAGCAAAAATTCCTCCATCACTTTGACTGCCTTTAAAACCAACTTCAATAAATAAAAATTTACAATTTGCATCGGAAACACCTTGCAAAACATAAGAAAAAAATTTTTTATAATTAAAGTACTCAGATCCGGAATTCGTGGGGCATTTAATTCGAACATGTTTTCCATCAATGGCTCCAATACAGTTCGGAAAGCCACTTTTTTCAAAGAAATCTTTGGAGACTTTTAGAAAGTCTTCGCTACTTGGTGGTGCCATGTGAGTCCTGCAGAAAGTGTCCCAAATAGCTTGGCACACTTCTGGTATCATTTGCCTTATAGTGCTTTCTGCAGTACGAAAACTAAATGATAGTCCTCGAATCGACATTCCAGTTGCAAGATATCTGTAACAGAAATATATTCTTTATCATTTCAGAAGCGGACTGCAAAAAGAAATTTAAGTATCTGAAGGATGAGTACCGAAAGGCGCTGCGGAAAGTCCCTCAAGCAAGCTCTGGATCTGAGGCAGTCCCCCATGTGTCGAAGTTTAAATACTTCGAACTTATGAGCTTCTTGAGGGACGATTCCGCATTAAGTGGCGACAGTAATATTGAGTACTTATTTGACGACATCGAACTAATGGACGATACCTCCACCACAAGCATTTTTATTGAAAATGTTGACAGCGGAGATGCTCCAACTATCAAAAACATCGCGGGACAACAACAAAATACACAAATTAAAAAAACAGCAAAACGAAAGACAGACATCGACGACGCGTACTTGGACATAGAAAGAAAAAAATTAAAACTTTTAGAAACGGACATAGAACGGACGAATCACGAGGACTCGGACGATTTACATTTTTTTAAATCCCTTCTTCCGCACATTGAAAAATTTTCTACACTTCAAAAAATGCGTCTAAGATCGAAAATTATTAATGAAATTGTAGAAATTACAACAGACAACTTAGAGCATTAAAATTAATTTATTACATATAATATTATTACATACACATATCATACACACATACTATACACACATACTACACATACATATATTTAAAATTTCTTTATATTAACATTTAGTAATTACATACACACATATATTTAAAAAGCTTCCATACATGTTAAAGTTACCTAGTTTCATACATACATATACTATAGACACACCAAACATACATATACATATATAAAATTTTTTTGCATATTTACATTACCTAATTACACATATTCTGTACATAATACACATAGATTAAATAAATACATATTACATTCATTAGAGAAATTAATTGTTTTCTTACCTTATGGAAATAACTAGTCTTTCTGTGGGAGAAATTGGCTCTCTGAAAGTCGATAAAGCTTTCTGTATTTTCTCACTCACACCATTAAGAATGTAATCAAACGTTTCAATTTCCATTCTCATGTATTCGTAAAATTTTATCGGAAATTCACGCAATTGATTATACAAATGATGGAATTCACCCATCAAAGGTCTATCCATGTAAATTGGATGTACCCATATCTTACGATATGATCTTTTCTTGTTTATAAAGTACTTTGATTTATCAGATAAAAATATTCGACGCAGACTTTTTGAATGCATCTTTCTTGTTGAAGTCGATCAAAGCAATGATCAGCGCGCGTCAGCTTAAGCTTGCAGTGTGCGCGGCTGCAAAAAGCTTCGCTCGCTGATAAGCTTTCCGCGGATAAGCTCTCAGCCGTAAGCTCCGCTTTCAGCTCGTAGTGTGCGCGCGGCCTAATTATGCAAATGCTGACGGCCGTTAGAGGCATTTAATACGCGCCAATAAATCATCGAAAGCCATCAATTGACGCACAAAAACAAGTCACGCACGGCATTTAATTTAAAAAACTTAACAGAAACAAAAAAGTCCATTTGGAACGGAATCGAAACAATAATTTCCAAGTTGGCATCGCTTTCCAAAAACCAAAGATCAAAAGTTATAAGCAAACATATTTCTGTGGCCTATCTGCTGCTCTACATTCGCTGGAACGCGAGTTTTATAGCATTTTTATTACGATCTCTATTAAAATGTTAATCCGACAAACGATTTCTTCTTTGTCTCGCATTCGAGCCGAAGTTCGGGCCCCAGATCGAACTCATTTGGGGACCCAAAGAAAGAGCCTTATCACGGCGCGTTTTTGGCGCCTTACTAATGTGCGTTTTATCGTCGCCATCCATTCGAAACTCTTTCCCTCCGGGCCCTATGTAAATTCAGGGAGTTTCTTTGAGACTTTATGAGACATTTTCGACTCGATTCTTTTGGTGGCATTGTGGTCAATTCATTAGCGTTTAAGAGGTTTGTTCACACCGTTCTTCATCGCCTGAATGGGAGGCAGCAGTTAGCAGTGGGCCTGCTCGACATTCTGGCAGCTTGTTAGCCGATTTTGTCGGCGGCAAGATGCACCTTTGTCTGGCCCACGGACAAAGGCGACTTTGTCCGGGCGTTTTAATGGCGTTAAGCCGGAGAATTTGATCCGAATAATAGGATTTTGTGAGCATTGTGCGCTAAAATACGTTTGACAATAAAACAGTGGGAGTTATGAACACATAATAATAAATGTAAATAGCTTTTCTCTGGCTTAATACTATTTTGATCATTTATGAGGCCATAAAATCGGATTTGAGTCGAATTTCTAAATCAAAAGTTGGCCAAACTTGGGGGTATTTTATTGAAATGTGTTTAATATTTGTATGAAATATTTTTATTTAATTTTTAAAATGAAAATTGGGTTATTATATGACTGTTTCTGTTTCTTTTTTACTAGATAATTAAGTAAAATTATTTTAGTCAAATAAATATGCAACTGAACAACTTAAAAACCATTAAAATGTGTGGCTCAGCGAACCATTGAACAAATAACCCTTTTCCTTTCTCTAATAAGGGGAGAATTAAAGCGATCACATAAATTATTGACATTGTTATCAAGGTTTAATAAGCTTTCAATGACTAAAACCAAGCCAAAATGGTATGAAATTTATTTAGAGGGTTATTGATCGAAGCAATGGATAATCTAGTCTTATTTTGAATATATTTATTATATATTTCACAGCCTATAAAAATTCATTACAATACTATAAAACATTTAAAAATGTAACAAAATAGAGTTTATTATTAAAGTCCAAAAGAGTTATTTAACACATTAAATTTGGAAATGTGGAAATTTGCGTTTTTTAAATAGTTTTAAAGGAGAGTATACTTCGTTAATGTATTTCCCAAACCCATTTTAATGAAATCAACGAATTCCAAGCTCCCCTTCTTCGCTAAGATCCCAATCCTTACCTCAATGGCGTTTCGGACTCATCGTAGCAACTGCCACCGTCCATATCCACATCGGATCCACTGCCGCAGGACATGCGGGAATCGGAGTCCACATCAACGTGAATCTCCTGCTCCTCGACATCGTCGCCATGCTCGTTCTCGTGCTCGTGGTCATCCTCCTCGTGGCTGGACATGCTGGCAACTAGTGGAGCCAATTTGGGAGTTCCTCTCACTGCACTATGCCTTCACACTTATTTTATTCGTTTCCTTATCCTTTATTAATTGTTTTAGATTGTATTTAATGCACTGCGGGGCACACACCAAAAATGTTTAATTAATTTCAGATTGATTTCCGCGATTAAGGGCGCACTGGGAACTACGGATCACGGACCACGGATTCCGAATGCCGAACTGCGAACTGTGCGATTTGCGAGCTGGGAAGCTGGGAGCGGGCGCGTGCTAGCGGGCGAATACGCTTTTCATAAATGCAATCAAATTGTGCCGACGGACGAGGCGCTGCCTGGCTCGCTGCCGCGTCTGCTGCTCCGGCGCTGCTGGCTGGTGTTTCCAGGAGGTTGGAGTGAGAGTCACCGCGCCGGAAACGGGTCTAACCAGTTGCCTGGTGTGCGGGCAGCGACGGCAGCGGCGACGCCGGCATCGACTTCCTTCCTATCTCGGTTAACGAGCCAGTTAGCCACCTTGTTTGAACCTAACCTACCATAATACCGCCACCCACCCTTTGCCCAGCAATCGGGCCTTGCTCTTCTGGTTGGTCCGCTCCGCCCCGTGTCGCCGTCTCGCTCTCTCGCGGCGCATGCGCGGCCTCTCGCTCGTGGAAGAACAGGTTTCGCTCTGCCCGCCGATGGGCAGCACTGGCCGGCAATTGGGGAAGGGGGCGTGGCCTGACCAAGCTGCCATTGGCCACTGCCAAGGGGGGGCGCTCTGCGGGAGTTTCAGGCTTTTGCGACGACATTTTAAATGGAAAACGTTTTGCTTTTGGGGTTTTTTATTAGACGAGAGAGCATGAAGAGAATGTATTTTTATTTTGATTGTTTCTATTTTCGGGTTAGCCAAGCGTTTCCCTCCCCCCAGGCACTCGCTGCCTCTCACTCTGGCCCTCGTAGTGCATCTCGCTTGCTCTGCTTCGCTACAACCGTAGAGAGCGAGCGAGCTAGCCAGCCTGCCGCACTCTTTCCCGTGGAAGTGCAAATGTGGCAGATTAATAGCACAATTGGAAATAGCGTTCTGTCAGCTTGAGTTCACAAAGCAGAGGATTTGAGAAGGGCAACAGCGGGACCTGGAGCGGGGTTCCTTGGCCTCTGCACCACTTCCTAATGTCCCTGACTACGCGAGATCTTTATTAGCGCAAAGCGTTCTCCGCGCTATCGCCTGGCATTTGGCGTTTGGCGTTTGGCAGGCGGCGATTGCGATAAGGAGGAACTCTTCTGGCTAAAACCACATGAATCCAATCCATTTGCAGGGGCATACCTGGTGGCATGCAAATGGAAATTGCATCTTCGGCGGATGCAGCAGCTCCAGCAGCTCTGGCATTTTCCCCAAGTTCACCTCTTGGGTTAATTGACAGTTTTCCTCGGCAATTTGGGCACGAGCCACGTTCCTTTCAGCTCAGGAGCTCAGGTGTTTTCGGAATTCGACTCCGAATGTGTGTGTGTGTGGACATGCACCTTATCCAGTACTTGGTTGGCTAAGGATTTGTAATGGAATGTAAGTAAGCTCGGAGGAAAAATATAAACAGGAACATGAGTTACACTCTGTATACATCTATAGCTTCCTATCTAACTTCAAGGGTCTTAGTTTAAAACAAGAAAAGAAGCTAACTTTGCTCGCCGAAGTTTGTATACCCTTGCAATTTGCATTTGGATTGAATTGGATTGGATTGTTCCTATGGCAGAAATATGATAATATATGTATATGTACTAGTAAGAATAGTCAGTAGACTGCAACGTTTAATTCAGATAGCTTTCAATCTGAAGAACTACTAGTTTGCAAGAAACGGACAGACAAACAGATGAACAGACGGACATGGCCAAATCGACTCGGCTGGATAAGAATAGAATCAATTTTTTGTACATACATAGATTTTATATAGGTTCCATTGAAATAAGTTAGCTGAAAAGGAAATGTTTGATATCACACGCTAGGCTTAAACCTGCAATTGTTGTGGACCTCATAACTTAATGCATTCACCTTTAGTTTAATGCTAGAATCAGTTGGGAATTCTTCTGCCTGAATTGTTGGTAAAACGTTGAAGCTTGAATGGCCTTCTGTGTCTTCAGATCCTAGAGCTAGGATTGAGAGTTTCAATTTGCCCAAGACTAGAAGATTATGCGACCTTCCTATACTAGAAAGAACGTAGACGAATATTTTAACACGGTACCTTGGCTTAATTTGATTTAGTTATTGCACAATGAAAGTAGATTATATTTTTAAATCAAAGAATAACGATTTCTATAGTTTTATTTAGCACAAAATCTGTCTTAGTATATTATCTATTTTAAGACGTTCTTACAGGGAATGGTTCCCGGGTTCCGGATATCCCTCCGGTTTACTATCTCTACCTGTAACAGAAGGAAAGTCAAATAAAAATCTTGTGCAAATTAAAAAAGAAGTAGCTCACAACATCGGAAAGGACTTAAAATTATTTTAAAAGTGTGATTGATCTTGTCACAGTAAAAATACCCCCATAAGCATTCGGTTTTTATATTACTCACATAATCAAAATTATTAATATGCAAATTCCTGTGAAATACTTATCATAATAACATACACTGTTCCTAGGCATAACGGTTATAAATATTCATTTTGGCACTTAACTGGCCATGTTTTTGTGTCAGACACGAACAAATCATGGCCAAAAAAAATTAAGAAAGGCAATTACTGCATATTGAATCGCATTGAAATGCCCACGCGCACAGGCACATTAAAATACTCGCAATCACAACAATACACACCAGCACACTCATCGGTGAAAAGGACTCTTGGAGTCACGATGCCAGCGAATGAGAATATCTCCTTGCTTCGCATTGTCATTGCTGCTTCTGCTGCTGCTGCTGCTGGTAGGCCTTGTAGTCGGCTAATTGGATTTCATTTGAGCAACAACAACGCCGCAACAATTGCCATAATAAAAGCAACTACAACAACAACGGCAACGACGACCATCCATGGCAATTGTAATGCAATTTTAATGCAAAACGAGAGAGGCGGCCAACATTTTTTATTGCATTTTTACTTTTATTTTACTTAATAGCAGGCAACAACAATAACTGCAGCGCAGCAGCAGCAGCAACAACGAGAAATTGGTGCTTGGTATGAATACGAAATGATGCCAAGACCACCACATCGCCAGGCTGGGTCTTGGCAGGCGGGGATTCGGGGGTTGGAGATGCTTGATGCTGATCCGAAAATGGGGATGGAGATGGAGCTGCAGGAGTTGGAGGAGGAGCAGGAGCAGGAGGACGAGATGGCAGTGGGCGGTGGCAGGGTGGTGGAAAATTAGTATGCAGCAGCGCACTGCAGTCGAATGGCAGGCACAGCAGCAGCAGCAGCAACAACAGCAAAGTCACCAGAACAGAACTTAGGTTAAGTGTATCCACAGGTGCACAGGAAGAAATAATGTGTCAACTACGGTTTATTTTTGACTATGAATGTCTGGAAAAAGTATTGCTTTTAAAAATATTTTTTATAAAATGAATAGCAATATAAATATGCTAATGTTATGTTTATATTACTTTTTCATCTTATTAATATTAATTTAAAAATTTCGGTTAATTTTGGAGTTTGAAAAATATACAAAATAATTTATTTACTTGGACAAAGTATAGTTTTAAAAATAATATAGCCATTAAAACGTAATATAAGAGCACAATGTTCCTGAACACTTTTCAATATAGTTAAAAATGAGATTTTTCCTTTTCCTTTTTAAAACTAAAATAAACTCCAGTTCCGACGTTAGTTTCTTCCAGTGTATGCACTGTAACTAGTGCATGTCTCAGCCTCAGTTTCGACTGTATGAGTGTCCCTGCCGCCAACGTGGCCAGGACTTGCCACTTGACTTTATTGGCAACTTCATGGAATATTCAGCAGGAAAGTTTGGCGCAAGTGCCTCCGAATAATACAGCCTCCGGAGCAGCTCCTTCTCCTGCTCCTGCTCTCCTGGATTTCTGTCAGCCTTGCCACCAGCTTCATTTCCTATGCATTTTTATTTGGCTCATATACAAATGGCGGAGCATGACGCGAGTTGAGTTCGATGGCGGGGCTGCAATCCGGATCGGATTGGTGGTGTGGCAGTGGGAATTCCAGAGGACAGCGCAGGACAGCCCAAGTGTCACTTAAAATGCCAATACTGATTATGGCGACCCCTCTGCTCCAGCTTTCGCCATCACTTGCTTTCAGCTGGTTGTCCTAACCCCTCTCTCACTCTCTCACTCTCTCTCTCTCAGGATGTCGCAGCCAGGACTTTATGTGCGGCCAGGGCATGGCTATTATTAGTGACAGTTTTACCTTTATGCGAGTCCCGTTCGAGCACTTGAATACATACATGCCAGGGAATACTTGTGATTAAAATATATGGTATACCTTGATCCTGCATATATCTTTTAGCTGATGCCACAGCCTTTAAAGATATATAGTTTAATATGGTTTAGGCCTTTAAATTTATCTTTTAATTATTTTACAGATATAAAGTTGAGAATATATAACCTTTTTTAAGCCCTAGTAAGTAGAATACCTTGAAGGTCCTTTTGTAACAAGACACAATCACTTCCAGCTTGTTCAAACTCTATTTTTCCACCACTAAAAGCCGCCTCTTTCTGTGTGTGTTTGCTGTTCATTTTAGTGATTTCCCCCAACACAAGGAGTAAGTGGGAGGGCTTCCCCCTCGGTTCCCCTCCTAGACCAAGGCCGTCGTGATTGTTTTCCGAAACTCGATCCGTCTGTCCACACTTGACTTCGATTAAGGGACTCTTAGGCTGCCTCGACTCGGTTGAATGCGTGTGTTTTTGTGTTAGCCAATTGGCCACACAATTTGCCAAGCGATAAATTAACGCATCAATTATTGATCGGGCTTGTGGCCGAGTGAGAGAGTGTGCTTAAGACGTTTTAGCCACGTTTCCAGGCGAAAAGTGAAAAGAGAATGGCGCCCCACCACGTCGTGGCTAATCTGGCTTAAAGCAAC